TTCAAGGCCCAAATTTTCAGCCGGCATAATAAACACTGGCAGAAACTATTAACAACTTCTCCAAATTTGGCTACGCATTCTACCATAATTCTCTACCGAGTTTTTTAAACCCCACTATATATCTTCCATCTTTGACCCATTATCCAAAAAAATCTCAAACAAAAACCATTAATATTACTTCTACAAGAGAAAATAAAATAAAAGAACTAATCTTTTCAGCAATCTCCAAACAATTAAACTGATCCCCATAAGCACACACAAAAACCCATGCACGGCAACCCACAAAATTGAAAATAAAAGTAAAAAGCAGCGAAATTTAGACCTGCAAGTTTCACCAACTCTGGGATCAGTGTCACCCAAAGCCTCGATCTGGATCTTCAAGCCCTCCTCATAACACTCAATGGACCGGTCCACCTGTCCCAGCATCGAGTACGTGTCCCCCAGCTGCATGTGCCCCGAGAACGCCGCGAGCGCGTGATCCGAACCTCTCTGGACCTCGGGTACCCGAATCGCCCGGTCCAGAACCGGAACCGCCTCCTCGAATCGGCCCAGGCTACAGTATATAGCCGCTAGCACGTGCAAACTCATCGCCAGGTCCAGGCTCGGCTCGCCGTCGACGGCGCACCGCTCGAACGACTTGGAGGCCCGGACCGCATAGTCCAAAGCCTTGTTCGGGCCTTCGCCGGAGGCGATGGTGTCTCGAGCCAGCTTGAGGAGAAACGGGCCGAGATCCGGGTTGTCGAGTGAGGCATCGGCGAGAATCGGGTCGGGGGAAGCGGGTTGGGGCTTCTTAGATCGGGTGGGTGAGGGTTTGGATCTGGAGGGGGACGGGGATGGCGGTTTTTTAGGGTGGGGCGAGGGGGTTTTGGAAATTGGGGCGGGTTCGGATCTTTGGGGCTGGGGTTGGGGCTCCGGGACCGAGATTCGGAGCGGGGCGGAGTCGGGCGGGGTTTTGACGGAGACCAAACCCGGCATCTTCGTTGAACAAGAATAAGAAGAGGGGGTTGTGAACTGTAGAGAGAGAGAGAGAAGGAGAGGTTTGGGTTTGATGAATAAAACAGAGAAACAGAGAGTGTGTTTTGGGTTAATGATGTAATTAAGTCAAGTTAATTAAAGGATTAGAACTTGCTACCATGCTCAACAAGCTGATTAGTGTGGAGTGGATTTAATTATCTGAGACCGACGACTGTGGAGGAGAGAGAGAGAGAGAGAGAGAGAGAGAGAGAGAGAGAGAAGATAATTGAAGATGCAGATCAGATGTCTCTCTAGACTGTGCTGGCAAAGTGTGAAGGAGGGGTGGTGGTGGTTGGTTTCAGTTTTTTTTTGCGCGGGGTAAAATAGTAATTTCGACATCGGCTTTGACCCACCGTTGGCAGCTTCTTACTGGAGGCAAGCAAATTAAATGATTGTTACCGTTGTAGCAGACGCGTGGCGCTGCGTTACTGGTGTAAGGCCGTGCTTTTTAAAATATATATATATATATATAAGGACCATGTTATTTATATTGTGATCATGTCTATATCTATATATAAAGCAAAAGGTAGAGAATGGTGAAACATTCAAAATACCAAAAAATGCCTTTGGTTTAATGCAAATATTAAGAATTTAAATTATTAATTAAATGAGGATAATATGATAAATTCACACTTTTTTGTATTAAAAAAAATTAAAATTAAAAGAAAAATCAGATAATGGATCCTATTTTTATGGAACACAACTACCCATTATCTTTTTTAATTCTGAAATAAATTTAAATTTTTTTTCAAAAAAGCCTCTCGCAGGCTCGGAAGCACTTGCAGAGAGGCTAGTATATATATAAAGCAAAAGGCAGAGAATGGTAAAACATTCAAAATACCAAAAAATGCCCTTGGTTAATGCAAACATTAAGAATTGAAATTATTAATTAAATGAGGATAATATGGTAATTTCACACTTTTTCATATTAAAAAAATTAAAATTAAAAGAAAAATAAGATAATTAATCCTATTTTTATGGAACACAATTACCCATTATCTTTTTAATTCTAAAATAAATTTTAATTTAAAAAAAAAAAGCTATCGTAGGCGTCATTTTTAAGAGTCAAGGCATTAGTGTCTAAAACACTCACAATATCGAAAAAGCACTCACGAATAAATCCATCACAATCAACAAATTTTAGAATAATAGCCATTGTTCTTTATTGGATTCATCAAGTGATTCATCAACAAAAATACAAAATTTGTTCTTCCCAAATTCTCTACAAATTGTCTTCCTCACCTTGGTAGCAAAAATATGCAAGATTTGTTTTTGTATGACATTGGAAATGCACTGAGCATTTTGAGGAGCCTTATCTAGGACAACTTTCTCAACTTCTATATTCATTCTTGCAAAAAGACTTTACTATTTTAATGAAATTGCCCCGGTTAGATGAGTCAACGGATTCATCGTGGCCTCGAAAAGTCAATGCTTGATTTGCTAAATACCTAATGCTCTCAATTGTGGTCGTAAGTCACAACTGATTGTCCATCACTTGTTGCTTTGATTGCTTATCTATCACTTTTTCAATATGAAGAGATGAGTTTTTTAAGCTAATCCACTTTTGTATAGCAAGATGATGTGGTGAATTTAGCTTGCCTACATGATGTTGAAATGCACATTGATTCCCACCAATTCTCTTCCATTTTTGATACCCATCAACAATAAAGGTTGGGTGTGACTGATTCATGTCAAAAAGGAAGCAAAGAAAACAAAATACCTTATTATTAGCAACTGAATACTCAAGCCAAGTGAATTGGCCAAACCACTTTTGATTAAATCGACGAAAGTCCCGCCCTTCTAAGTGGCTTGGATAATCTTCTAACTCAGGTTAACATGGTCCTAAAAGAATATATGCTCTTCGCACATTATCTTGTTCATTCACCGAATATTTGCACATTAAACGACGTAATCCTAGATCACGCTCAAGATAATTGAAATTAAAATCATGATTATCATCGACTCTTTGAGATTCAACTCTTTCAACTAGAGGCTCGACAATGGGAGACTCAGGAAGATTTTGCTCATCACATATTAGAGTAGATAAAGAAGTGCTAGAAGGCAATGTACTAGATGATGACCCATCATTCTTTTTCTTTAAAAAAAAACAACAAATTCTTTGTTTTCTTGGGATTCCGATTGTGATAATATTTATAAAGAATTACGTCGATTGTGATCCGACATAATAAAATATAGCCTATGAATAATATTTATAAAGAATTTTAATCAAACATACCAATAAAAAATCAAACAAATTCTCATAATAGCATCTCAACAAAACCAAACCAAAAATTTTAATTCATCCATAATTAAACCCTAGAATACTCAATTTTAACAAAATATCAAATCAAAGCTTTAGAATAATTCATCCCTAATCAAAGCCCTAATTAATTTCAACAAAATCTCAAAATTATAATTCATCCCTAATTAAACCCTAGAATACTCAATTTTAAATTAAAACTATAATTAAATATATATATATATATATAGCAAAGGAGAGAATGAGAATAATACCTTGTTGGTGACAAAAGGATAGGAGAAGATGTAGCCAATAGAGGAAGAATTTGGCCCCAAAAAAAAAAAGGAGGGAGAGAGAGAGAGAGAGAGAGAGAGAGAGAGGAAGTCTAATAGCCAAAGAGAATGAGAGAAAAGATGGGACCACATGGATGGGCAACATATGGGTAGGGTTTGTTTTTAATTCTTTTTATTTTTCGGCTGGGCTTATAACCCATATAAGTTTTTTCTTTTTTTCTTTTCTTTTTTTATAAATTTGGGCTGGGCAGGCACCCAGCCTACCCTTTGCACAGACCCACCACTGGTGGAGCGGCTAGTATAATATAAATAGAATCATGCCTACTTAATTTGCAGTTATAATTTACTCTTTTAACTTTTACGACTTTAGAGCATCTACAACAACCTCTTTAACAGCTTTGGAATTCTAAAATAGGTGAGCCACATCAAAAAAGCTCTCTCCAACGGCTTCTTCAACCTCAGTCATCAAACTTACCTCTTTCGCTCTCTTTAGGACCGATAAGTTAACTTTGGCTCTTCAAACATTTAATTTTACTTCGAAAAAATAAAACCTACCTTGTAAATGTTAAAAACATGCATTTATTTCTTTTCATATAATAAATACATAAATATTTTTCACATGTTTTCATTCTTTTCCATGATACTGCATTAATTGAATTGAAGAGTCTATTGGAGCAAAAATTATTCAAATAGCAAATAAGGCTTTTCAAATTGACACGTAGGTCAACAAACTTCAATTTGAAGAGTTTTATTTGTTACTACTGTTGGAGATGTTCTTAGTCTTAGCAATCGTTTTTGAACTACAATCTAACTTATCAATTTTCTTCCGGAATTTGATTGTTTAGATTGTGTAATCGTCAAATTATATATGACCATTTCTGTGTTATTGATTCTTTCCGTCAACTTCCTCCGATTTATCTGTTATAATAGGAGCAAATTATAGAATAATATGCATTAAGCCATTAAGAAGGTTTTGTTGTTGGTGCTGCTGGAGGCAAAATCATAGGGCTCAATAGCTTACTTATCACAAAGTTGTACACTTTACTACTTTGAGTACTTGAAAATTGAACTAATGCAATAAGAGAAGGTTAATAATTAGATTAGATTAAAAGTGAAGTGAAAATACAAGGTGTGCCCTCAAAACTCACAAAGCTTAATTTCCAGGTAAGAGAGAAAAGACAACAAAAGTAAAATGAGGCATGCCCTTTAGTTTCACCTAACCATCTTTTCTTCGTTTTTCCTTTGGAATGGAATGCCTGCACTTTCGGTTCAATTTCTTCACCTATGTGCACCTACATGCAGTCTCCTATTTTTATTTTCTATTATTAGATGGACTCTCTCTCTCTCTCTCTCTCTCTCTCTCTCTCTCTTGTGCTGATTTTGCAGAAGTACATATGCATGTTGAGACTGATAAAAAAAATACCATAATGGAACAACTGGACTATACTTTTTTTTATCCCTTTTTTTTTTGGGTGAACAAGGGAGGGGTAAGAACCCCCAACAACCAAAGAAACTAAACAACACAAATCATACGAGGTTTAGACAACCCCAACAGGTCATCCACCAACACAGAGCCAAGCCAATCAGGAGCCTCATCAAGCAAATACAAACCCAGATCCAGGTTATGACTCCAATTAGCCAATCTGTCTACAACAGTGTTCTTATCCCTATAAATTTGATAAATCTCATAACTCTCAAACTTGTTTAGGATCCCCACGCAACTAGACACCAAAGCAGCAAGAAGATGAAGGAGGAGAAGATTGTGTTGTTGGATTAGTTGAACTGCAATAGCAGAATCCATCTCAATGATGAGTTTAGACATTCTACTATCAGCAGCAAGCTTCAAACCAAAGAGAAGACCCCAAAGTTCAGCCTCCAGCACCTGGCCTATCCCTAAATTAATAGCAAAACCACCATTCCACTCTCCAAGTGAATTTCGAAGGACCCCTCCAGCACCAATACATCCAGAAGCAGCCCGTCGAGAGCCGTCCACATTGAGCTTGAAGGTACCACGAACAGGAGGGCTCCAAGCAAGAAAAACCTGTGTTTTAACAGAAGCAGCTGTGGAACATGCAAGGAAAGTTCAAGGAAGACTGAAGGAAAATGAACCATTTGGAAAGGAGCCTGAAATCATATGTGCTTTCCTTGTCACTGGCAGAGTTGCAGAGAGAGAGCAAAGAAGAACAATTATTTGAAATATATTGTCCTTTATTTTCTTTTGTTTATTCCTTTTGCCCTGGTTTTAATTCTTGAAGAGAATACAGCTTTTGCATATTTATGTGAAAGGGTCTGCTATATTCATGTTCTGCAGGCAACTGGATATTCCTTTCCTTACCAAAATGCTAAGCATGAAGTTAAATTTAAATTTCTTATGAATTTCACCCAATCTTGGATTTGCTTAAAAACTTACATATTCATCATCATCATAAATTTTAGTCTTGTGCTGAATGAACAAGATTAATTTCCTTAGTTTTGTGACTTTAATTAACTGTCTCCTCTCTTCTGGTTGAAGAGGAAGCTCACAGCATGACCTTTTCTTTGTCTTTGATATTCATGATTGCTCACTGTCTTAGCATTTTAGAACCTGCAATTACTTACAACCCGCAAAACATATGTTTTGTTCATATGCATTCTAGGTTTAATGAAGATAAGCATATATATATATATATTGATATATAGAGGACTTGCACTACATAGATAGAGGTTTCACATCTCCAACATATATATATATATATATTTCTAAGATTTAATTCCAGAAAGAAATTCATGGTATTCACAGTTTTCACACCGAAAATATAAAAACTCTCTCTCTCTCACTCACTCACTCACGATCAGAAACACATCACATCATCACTCTCTCTTGAGGTTTTCACAAGAGTTCATAGCTTGGCGGCAAAGTAGGTGATCACATCTAGATATTCAAGGACCTCTACCTCCACCTTTACGTGGTTCATGCCCTGGATTGGCCCCTGGCTCCTGATAATCCAGCATTGCATCAAGTGCAAGAAGCAGCTTTCTCCCTTTCATCATCTCAATAATATTCACCTACATATATAGATCAATAAGCAGAAGTTTAATTATTTAATTCATCTAAAATCACTAAGAAACTTCTACATCGTTTGTATATAGCTTTACCTCATGACCACTTGAGTAGGTGAGCTCCATGCCATCCTTGAAGTTGTCAGCTCTGCCTGTAAATCAAAAAAGAAGAAGAGGGTTTGGTTCATTTTTCCTACCTCAGCTGCAGAAAATCTGGAACTAAAGAGATTTGCATGCTCAAACCACTTCTTACCTGAAATTGGCAAATCAAAGAGCAGGAAGAGGATGATGAAAATCTTGACTTGAAGAAGCATCTTGGCTAGGTTTTTTCAATTTTCTTTCCCTAGCTTACTGCTGTTGTTTGAGTTTCAGTGTTTGGAGGAGAAGCCCTATGGCCTGCTTTTTATGGTGAGTGGGAGGAAATGGAGCCAAAAGAGGAAGTCATGATGAGCCTTGCACAAAAGCATTGTGACATGATTGTGAAAATTACAATACCCCATTAATATTATCCCCCACCTCAAAGTCAACTGCACTTAAATTCCTTAACATCAAAAGCTTTTGTATCTCCTTTTATGTGTCACAAGAACAAGCATTAAGTGTGGAAATGTGACAGACAAATACAACGTAGCTTGTGGGTTTTGTTCACCTTTTAGAATTCACTTCCCTTTTGATCTATCTAACTATTCAATCAACTCATGCCTTTAATTTGTGGGTCACTTTCAGATGTTAGGTATCACTCCATTTATAGTTTCCTTATAGCAGTTTATAAGCTCTATTTGCCCAAATATTCGAGAAGAACTTACGTGTAACACGGGGAACAAAATCATTTTGAAAGCATCTGTTAGGTTAAAAAAGTTAAAACAGAGGGGCTTTAGAAAGAAATGCTAGCTGTGAACTTCAGCGTTATTGATCTCTGTGAAAATAGAAGTTACAGGTTTGCCTGTTCTGTCAGAATTTTTTATTCTAACTTTTTTTTTAATATAAATTTTGCTGGAGCCTGTAGGATTGACACGCCTACTGGAATTTGCTTAAACTTAAAAATTCACATCTTTCATGAGCATGAGCCCTCTGGGGGTGGCACAAAAGTTCACATATAGTACAATGACCCAGTCCTAAGATAAGATTAATCATAGTTTAATTAGTTGAGTTGGCTCCTGACACCTGTTTTGCTGTATAAAATAAAATCACTTCCATAAGGGTTTCATGTTGATAATGCTGGCCCTTGCAAAGCAATTTTTTTAAAGTTGTAAAAATGATGAAGATTCCAATCCCATGTTGGCTTGCACAACTTGAGCTTGTCGGCTAACATCATAACAAAGGCCTACTTCCCAAACACAACAGCTTTCCTGGAAAAAAATAAAACCCCAGATGCTCAATTTCCCAAGAAACAGAAAATTAGATGTCCTTTGGCCTTGCCTTTCTCCTTATTATAATTTATTTTGTATTTTCTTCTCATGCATACAATGGCATCCATTTTATTTACTGTCCCAGTTAAGAGTAGAACACTTGAATGTTTTCACTGGTCCAATCAAATTTTCACTGTTTCTAGTTTTGCCAAATTTCTTTTACAGCTTAGCTTTGGTTGCTTTTCTATCAAACAGTGGTTTCTCCTTTTGGTTTTTTGGCCATGGGATTGTCATAACGCGTTGGAAATGTCACCATTTTGCTTACAGAAATTCTGTGATGCATATGAATGGTGGTCATCAAATCATTATATCCCAGAACTTTCTCAAGAGTTGACTTTCTGAGTTTTGACAGCTTCATATTGAAGAAGACTATAGTCCCATTACCAGGCTTAGTGCCATCCCAGCACAATTTCTGCTAATTAGTAATTATTATTCACTGTGCCTTCACCATGAAATCTATGTGGTTGGCAAGAGCAAGATGACTCTTGCTTTGCTGTTACCACCTTTCATATAAGCTTTATAATTATACCAGCAGCTCAACATATGTCAAAGCTGCTAAATCACACAACTTTCTTACCTCTATACTCAGGGGGTTAAAATTTGAGTTGTTAGGTGCAAGGGGCTGAACCCTTGGTGTTCTATTCTCCCCTCCCCCAATATTGTTTGCATCGAAGAAAACAAAACAAATCAAAGATGTTATGTTGGGTTGGATAACCTAATAATTGATTTGCCTTTCATGTCGGTTGGCATCTTAGCAATGAGCTAATTGGTGTTTTGCAGCAAGTCATATCTTTGTTTCATTAATGGCAGACATAATGTAATTGCAGTGGAATTTATCAAGACTCAAGGGGATATAAAAACATAGGTCAATAATCTTTGGAAGAAATAATAGCAATACATTTGGTCTCACCATGTCAACCCTTTCTGTCACAACCAATAACCCATTTTTACATGGTAATTGGCATTGAACATATATGATTTGTGTTACTCTATCCACTTAGGAAATTATACATTTCTTCTAATTTTTTTAACCTTTTTATTTATTCCATAGTGCTTATGATATAATGATCTGATAGCCCCTCACATCCCCTCCTTATAGGCAGAGCACCATTTATTGATTGCTGTGACATTAGAGTAAGAAAATGGAAGGACAGATTTTCACTATTTACCACCACCTGGCCTCCCTTTGTCATGCCTTGGGTTTGGTATTGGCTTTTCATAGTCCAACATAGCATGAGCTGCAATGAGCTCTCTCATCTCCATGTCACCAATGACCTTCAACACAAAAACATAACACAAATTAGCAGAAACCCCACAAAAATGAAGGAAAAAGGAAGAAGCAAACAAAAAAAATGTAAATTTACCACAAATATATTATTTTTTTCATGCATGTAAAATTAATGTAACCGAGTTACCTCGCTTGGTGGATTTGCAGGATTTATAACATGTCTAAAGCCTTTCACTCTGCTGCCTGCAGGAAATAAAATGTGTAACACTTGAGCTTTCTAAAATCATATAGCAAAATTAATTAACTGATAACACATTATTAGTATCATGTTCATGTTCTTCACCTGAAGAAGCGTCGAGAAAGAGCAAGAGAAGGAGAAGACAGGTTTTGATATTGGTATCCATGGTGAATTGTAAAAATGGTGGTGTTTTGTTCTCAGAAGGCAAGGCACGTTGAGATTTAAGGGGCAAGGGTTTTGTTGCTTTTATATGGTTTGGAAGGAGAAGGAGCTAGGGCTACTATTTCATGGTGCAACAGTACTTACTCAAAAGCTTTGAATGGTAGTGAGTTTTTTTGTGTGTGCGCAATTGCTACAAAGTCAAACCACACTAGCATGACTAATCTCTGTCATTATAGCTTAAACTTTTAAGACACCAAAATGGATATGGACTTGCACCTAAAAAAAAAATAGAAAGAAAAAGAAAAAAATTTATGGATAGAAACAAAAGTGATGCTTGCATGGCTCAAACTCCATATATATTTTGTGTTGTGGGTTGTAGGATATGTCACTTATCTCAAAACTGATTCAAAGTATCAAATTATAGTGGGTTTCTTCTTCTTTTTCTTTTTTTCTCTAAGTGTTCCTTTTACCAAGCAGCACTTGTCGGCTACACAATATTATGAGGGAACAGGTACCACTTTGGTTGTAGAAACTTAATTCCTATTTTACCAATTATAATATTTGGGGGAGAAAGACTTGAACATATAAAAGCTCCTGTTTAATAGGGATATATAGCTACGAAAACTAGGGCTTTTTACTTCACTCTTTAGTCGAGAGGGAAGTCTTATCAGCAACATATTTAGGGCTCGTATGGGATTATTTCGATAGGAAGGACTTTTACTCGTAAGCACTTTTAGAAAAAGTATTTTTATTAGAACGTCAATATTTTTATTAAAAATTGAAGTGTTTCCTAGAGAAGCACCTAGCAAAAAAACACTAGAAAACAAAACTATGAGCCATAAGCAAGCATTTTAAAAAATTTTCTCTCAATAATGTTGATAGAGCGCTTTTAATTGTCATAAAACGCTTTTAGCTAGCATTTCTAAAAGCAATCTCAAAATACAGTGACTAATACGCTTTTAATCTTCAAACACATTTCATACTCATTCTCTACGTAGCCAACAAATGAAATCAATGTCAAAGCATTTGAAGCTAGGGTTAGATTAAGTGAATCTTATAAAGTAAATGTACATTGAATTGGTCAGTCTTTGGGTGGACCACATCATGCCAATGTAAATATTATGTGCTTCTCCACAATCAGAAAACAGCTGAAACACTATGGGAGGCTTGGAAGCACAATTGAAATGAGCCCTATCATCTGTTTGTGTGCCCTTATTTAGCTTTTTGTCCTGTTTTATCAACTTTTGGGGGAATGCATAAAATAAGGACATCTTCAGTTATATGGCTAAATATAGTCCAAAGTTATAAATTTAGCCTTTCAAAATATTAATTTTTTAAATAATAGTGTAGGGATAAATTTCTCCATCTCCATCCATCCATGCATGGCTATATTTTAGGGCCCTTCGTATTTTATTATTTTGAGAAAAAATATGGTACAACACTCATACATTCCACAATTATGTATTGTTTAATTTAATTAAACTACTATTTAGAAACAATATTCCATATATGACATGTGTACGTTGATAAGCATTTAACAAGATTTCTAATAAGATTTTGTGTCCACGTGACACGTCTTATCTTGAAGGAATCTTAATAATTTTTCGGATATAATTTTCGAGTGACACGTGTTGGTCCGGAAGTAGGGATGACAATAGGTCGAATCGGGGAAGGGTATGTCATTCCCATCCCCATCCTCGTTAAGCATTTTTCCCCCACCCTTGCATTCATACCCGCAATATTCTAAGTGGGGATTCCCCATCCCCGCCTTCATTGGGGAACGGGTTCCCCTACCCGCCCTATTATTGAAGAAAAACCAATAAAAAAATCCTTTGTTGAACGAGAAAAAAACA